TTAATTTGAATGGAATATGCAGACAGTGGTAGCCCAATTAATACTACGACTACGACTGCTGTCACGATGGTTAACACGTCTACAAATGGTACAGCAAAAACAACAACAGCAACAGTGGTGCCAACGACAGATATTGGGCCGTGCATTTATTCCGCTATCTACCATTCAGCTTTCCGTGGATCCAAACTTATCAAAACAATCCTCGTTGCTAGGTGGGCAATTCCTTTATCCGTTCCTTGCAAAAATTACGCGGAAACCATGACAGCTCTGCCCCATGTAGGGGGAATTTTTTTGAAACTGTTGTCGGATGAAGTAGGATGATTCCAAAATTTGAGATGACCTAGTTATCGCAGGATTTGCCTACCATATCCGGTCACCAAATCTTTCTTTAGGTATCTTGAATTTTCAACCGAGGAAAATGAAGAAAATAGAGAAAAACGTCATAAGTTCGATCCGTAGCCAAGGAAGCAAAGCGAAAATTTTGCAAAATAAGAGTAATATGATGGACTTTTGAGCAAAGCAAAGCTTGCCGAGGATGACTTTATCTTTGCCGTTGAATCATGCAGGTTTTTGTGATTTTCAACAGTTGCTGCGGAGAATGACGCTTATCAATAGCATCAGCGTGAAGAAAGTATGAACACATAGCGTCGAAGTCGGCAGGTGGCGTTAAAAGGTAGCATCGACAGATAATATCGAGGATACATAGCGAGAATGTACAGCGTCAGGATAACGTTAAAAATATCGGTGCCAGAATACCGCCGTCGCTCAATTCCAGAGCGCATGACAAAAGAGCCTAAGTGACCCCCAAGGCGCCTCCCTGATTGAAATCCACGCCAAAATCGAGTAGTTCTGCATTCTTCATGCAGCAGACGCGCTGCTCGCCGTCGTCGACCACAAAAATGATGCAGTTCTTCATCATCATCACTTGGAGTTGGAATCAGATCGCAACTTCGTCAAAAATAGCATAATGAAGAGAAGAGACATAAAAATAATGGAAAAACGGAAAGTAGTATGGCTTCACGAAACGTTTCGAAAAGGCTTTCCTGTTCAAGCAAAACCAGCTAATGACACGGGGAAATGGTCACTGAAGAAAAAACAAAATTAGTTGGAGCAAAAACAAGAAAATCAACCAAAGGACAAGATGCTTGCCTAATGGGCAAATTTAATTAATAGGCACAAATTTTAGCTGAGAGGGTATTAAAATTAGCTGGAAGTTAAAATATTGAAGGTGATGGAGGCTTACGTATGAAACGATAAAATT